TCCCTTCTATGCAAAACTCTTTTGAGGATGGACAGGGTGAAAGGGGAGAGTAGGATAAACAGGAGAAAATACGATGGAGGGAAATTAATCATAACTGAAAAAATTGTTGTAGCAGATTTCTCTGATAAAGACCTCATTTCTCAAATATGTAGAGAACTGAGTCAAATTTATAAAAATAAGAGCCATTCCTTAATTGATAAATAATCAAAGGATATGAACAGGAAGTTTTCAGACAAAGTGATCAAAGCTATAGTCATATGAATTAATGCTCTGAATCTCTATTGATTAGACAAATGCAAATTAAAACAACTCTGAGGTACCACCCCACATCTATCAGATTGGCTAATATGACAGAAAATGAAAATGATAAGTATTGGAGGGAATGTGGGAAAATTGAGACATTAATGCACTATTGGTGAAGTTGCGTACTAATTCAGCCATTCTGTAGAATAAATTGGATCTGTGCCCGAAGAGGGATAAAACTATGCGTACCTTTTGACCAACCAATACCACTACTAGGTCTGTATCCCAAAAAGAAAAAAAAAAAAGGAAAAGGATCTATTTGTACAAAAATATGTATAGCAGCTCTTTTAGTGGTGGCAAAGAATTGGAAATTGAAGGAATGTCCATCAATTGGGGAATGGCTGAACAAGTTGTGGTATGTGATTGGGATGGAATACTGTTGTGCTATCAGGAATGATAAGCAGGATGCTCTCAGAAAAACCTAGAAAGACTTACATGAGCTGATGCAAAGTGAGATGAGCGGAACCAGGAGAACATTGTATACAGTAACAGCAATATTGTATGATAGTCAAGTGTGAATGACATAGCTATACTCAGCAATACAATGATCTAAGACGGGGCTTCTTAAACTTTTTCTACTCTTGACCCCAGTTCTGAATGACTTATGGTGAAAAATGCTCTCCATCTCCAGAGAAAAAACTGATAGAGTCTAAATGCGGATCAAAGTGCACTTTTCCTTTACTTTATTTTCCTTGGGTTTGGGGGTTGGTTTTTTTTTTTTTTTGGTCTGTATTTTCTTTTCACAATAAGACTAATGTGGAAATACATTTTGCCTGACAGAACGTGTATAGTCTATATCAAATTGCTTGTCTTTTCAATGAGGGGGAAAGGGAAGGAGAGAGGGAAAGATTTTGGAACTCAAAATTTTAAAACAGATGTTAAAAATTGTTTTTACATGTAATTGGAAAAAAATAAAACTTTGTTTAAAAAAAGATTTCTACAGTATAAATGGGAGTGATCTCACAGGGGAGGCACCAGCAGTTTGGGAGGGGGAAGGGAAAAAACAGAGACTTGAAAAAGGTAGGACTTGAGCTGAATGCATGAAGGAAGGATGACCAATGAGAAAGTACTTTTCCCTTTGGCTTCTTGGGTCCAGGAATGTGGAACACTGTGTATCAAATCAGACTTTTCTAATATAGTGGTTAGTTACTGCACTGCTGGTGTGAGTTGGAAAATGTGGGTGATGTGAAAACAAAAGAGAGCAATGAAAATGTGTTTTAAAACAAGCATAGACACAAATGATATTAAAGTGGTTATACAGCAATCTATAAACTTGTCATTTTCAAGTTATTAATAGTGTAGATTAATTTCAATAAGATAGAAGAAATTTGTCTTGGTTACGACCCTGTAGGCTTCTGAACTGTTTTCTTCTGTATATTTTTTCCTGAAGTTGTGGGAGTTTTTCCAACCTTTTTTTTTTTTACACACTTGTTAGTCTGTATGTATTATTCTGGTTCTGCTTTCCACAGTCAGTCAATCAACAAGCATTTATTAGGTACCTACTATTTTCTAGGTACCTAGCTAGGCAGGAATTGGGGAACAGAATTAGGGTCAGAAATGGAATTAGACTTACAAATGAAATTTGAAATAGAATTAGGGTTAGAAACCTCAGAATTAGGATTAGCATTAGGTGAAATATTGCAATCATCCAGTCCTGTGGCTAGGTATCTGTCTGCCACAAGTCCCTCCTCTTCCCCACTCCCCTGGATTCTTTGATCCAGTGATCCTGGCCTCTTGGCTCTTCCAAGAACAAGACCCTTCTCCACCTTTTGGCTCCAGGTGTTTTCTCTGGCTGTCCCCCATGTCTGAAATTCTCTTCCGCCTCATCTCTGTCTCCTTAGTACATATTCCCTAACTTCCTTCAAATTCCAGCTAAAATCCTACCTCTAAGGGAAACCTTTCCTAATCCCTCTGAAATTCTGACACCTTACCTCTGCTACTAATCACCTGTTTATCCTGTAACTTGTTTGTACACCTTTGTTTGCTTATGGTCTCCCCATTAGATTGTGGGCTTGTTGAAGGCAGATATTGTAATTGTCATCACTTGGCAGGGTGCCAGTAGGAGGCTGTTACATTAGTCTAGGAACAACGTTATCAGTACCTGCGTTGAGATAGTAGCCACTTCAGAGAGAAGGAGCAGAATAGTAGAGGTGAACTAGAGGTGGAAATGGTTGGGTCAGACAAGTAACTGGCTCTATTAATTGAGGGAGCTTATGAACTTGGGAGAGTGGAAGATTGGTGATGTCTTCCACAGAAAGGGGAAGTATGCAAGAGGAGTGGGTTTTAGAGGAAAGAGTGTGGGTTTTTGGACGTGTTGAGTTTGAGATGTCTCTGGGACATCTAGTTTGAAAGGTCCTGTAGGCGTTTGTGGATGTGGGACTGAGACTCCGGAGAGACTGGGCCTGGGTGGAGACAGATAGCTATATCTGGGAGCAGGTGAGGTTACCAATAGAGCACAGAGGGAGAGGAGGCCCTGTGACAGGCCCTTGGGGAACCCCTGTAGCTGGGGAGCAGAAGGAGTCTGATGTGTAAGATGATCCAACAAAGGAGACTGGGGAGCATTCAGAGAAGTGGTGGTGGTGGTGGTAGCAGCAGCAGCAGCAGCAGCAATAGTAGTAGTAGCAGTAATAGTAGCAGCAGCAGTAGTAGTAGCAGTAATAGTAGCAGCAGTAGTAGTAGTAGTAGCAGCAGCAGCAGTAATAGCAGTAGTAGCAGTAATAGTAGCAGCAGTAGTAGTAGCAGTAGTAGCAGTAATAGTAATAGTAGCAGCAGCTGTTATTGATTCAGAGAAGGGGGAAGAATCAGGAGATCCTGGTGTCCCGTAAACCCGGGGAGGACAAAGAGTGACCAGCAGTGTCAGGCGCAGCCGATAGACTAAGAAGGATGAGGGCTGAGACAAAAACCGTAAGATGTGACCATCTGGGGATTTGGGGCAACTTTGAAGAGAAAAGTTTCAATGAAGTGATGAGAACAGAGGCTGGACTGCAAAGGGTTAAAGAGTCAGTGAGAGGAGAGAAAATCCAGGCTGTGAAAGTAGACAACCATTTCTAGAAGTTTTGCTTGGAAAATGAGTTAAGTTTTTGGGTTTAAAGGGGTTTTTAGGGAAGGTGTGGTGGTGGTTTTTTTGGCCTAGGAGACTTGACCTTGTTGCAAGGTAAGTAGGGAGGAAGTAGTAGATAGGGGAGAGGTTCAAGATTTGAGAAGAAATCCTCGAGGTCACAATCTATTGGAGAAGGAAGACAGATGACATGAAATCAAGTCTCCATGGAGAGGGACTGGCCTTGGTCAGGAAGAGGATCACCTTATTTTAAAAGAATAGGGGGAAGGAAGAGGAGAGGGAATGATGTTTCTTTTATTTTTTTACTCATGAAATATCCCCTTTTTTTTTTTTTTAATTTGGGAGTCTCAGTGGAGGCTACAGGGAGAAGTGGGAAAAGAAAGTAGTCAATTAGTCAGGGATAGATGTTCTGGGAGCCAGCCCGGCCAAAGAAAAGGCTGCGGGGCCCTGAAGGATGTTGGGTCTTCATCTTTGGAAGCCACACTGGCCCAGTGCTGGAGGCAAGGCAGGGTACCCTGAGAAGGGGGCCTGGCCATGAGCTGGCGGGGGAGGGGCTCGATTGATCTGGAGGATGGTGATCCAGGAGGTCAGGGCCAAGAACCAAAGGGCCGGCCCTTGGGCTGAAGGCCGGTCGTCTCGGTAGCATTTCCGGCAGAGCTCCGGGTGTCCTCGTTGGACACCCGCTCCAGGCTCCTCCTGGGTGCGGGGGAAGGAGGGGGAAGGGCTGCCGCTTTGCCTTCCTCCCTTCTCAATGCGCTTGCGCCTGGTGCCGCCGGGGCTTCTGGGGCTTGTGGTCCATCCTCCGCACGCATGCGCCTGACAACCTCGGCGTCTTCTCCCTCGCCTCCAGCCCCCAGCTCCGTCGGGGACCTCTCCCCTCTGCCTCGCTCCCAGGCTCCGGGAATGAGGTTTCAAGGAGTTTCGAGATGAAAAGAGTGGGGAAGGAGGGAGTTCATGTCAGATGACCTTGATTTTCTGAGTAAAGGAAGAGGTAAGATCCTCCGCGGATGGACTGGGGGTGGGGCGGCGTGGCAGGGAGGAGAGAAGGCCGGAGAGGGGGTTGGGAAGAGCGTCTGGGGACGGAGTGAAGGTTAAATGAAAGGCTGGCTTGAGCGCAGCGGGGGCCTGTTGAAGGCACATAATGGGGCTTTTCTCACATTGCTTGTGTGTGTGTGTGTGTGTTTTAATGTGACAAATACCAGACAAAATGAACGTCTCTGTGGACTGCACACCGAAGTGCGAATCTCCGTGATGTGTATATAGCTTGTTCCTTCGTTTGAAAATAAAACAGATTCACCATGTATGTAACCTTTAAAGCTGTGCTGCTTGTCTGGGATTCCTTTTGGCCTTCCTTTTGGCCTCTTTTGTGCATTTAAAAAATTCTTTAGTGACTCTTTTCTTTCTCTCCCCCCCAAAACCTCTCCCTAACCTTCCTTCTCTTCCCATGGCACCCCCACAATTGAAAAAAAAAAATGAAAATGAGATAACCAGATTCTTTTACCAGATATGCATAGTCAGGCAAAACAAATTCCCACCATAGCTGTGTCAGAAAATGGGCATCTCATTATGCTTCTTGAAATAATCCCCTGTCTGTCTGGAGGAAGCTATCAGACGTCATCATCGGCCCTCTAGACTCTCGGTTGGTAATTGATCAGACTTCCAAAGGCTTGTTTGTCTTTACAAGATCATTGTTCCATAATTGTTCTGGTTCTGTTTCTCCCTGTGTCAGTTTATATAAGTCTTATCAGTTTTCTCTGAAATCATCCTTTTCATCATTTCTTACCCTGGAGTAAAAATATACATTACATTTGTAATGTACATTACAAAAAATATACATTACATTTGTAATGTACATTACACAAATGTACATTACATTTATAATGTACAGCTTAATTTGTTCAGCCATTCTCCAACTGATGAACAGCCACTAATTTCCTTCTCTGCTACTACAAAAAGAGCTGCTAAAAATATTTTAGTGCATATGGGTCCTCTTATATCTTTGGGGTAGAGACTAGTGGTATCTCTAGATTAAAGGCATGCATAGTGCATTTTGAAGTGCAACTTCAAATTGCTTCCCAGAATGGCTGCAGCATTTCACAGCTCCGGCAACAGTCCCTCTGTCAATTGGCATTTTCCTTTTTGTCACCTTTGCCAATCTGATAGGAGTTGAGGTGGGACCTCAGCAGATTTTTTAAAAATTTTATTTTCATTTTTTATTTTTTTAACATGTGTTTTTAAAACTTTGGGTTACAAATTTTCTCCCTTCCTCCCTCCCCACCCACCCTCATTGAAAAGGCCAGCGTCTCGATACAGGTTATAGATGTGTAGTCATGCAAAACACTTCCATAGTAGTCATGTTGTGGAAAACTAAGTATATTTCCCTTCATCCTATCCTGTCCCCCATTTATTCTATTCTCTCTTTTAACCCTGTCCCTCCTCAGAAGTGTTTGCTTCTGATTATCCCCTCCCCCAATCTGCCCTCCTCTCTACCAACCCCCTGCTCTCTTCAGCAGATTTTTAATGTACAAAGTTAGCATGCTTGTATCACTTACAAAATTCTCATGTTGTTTCATATTCTTATTTGTAATTTCTTTTGGCAGAGTTGTGATTTAGTTTATACAATTTTATTTAGTCATTTTCTAATTGTTAGACACATGGCTTATTTCTAAGTTTTCCAATTATAAATACTGTTGTTATGAACAGTTTTGTAGAGAGAAGTCTTTTCTCCATCATTCTTAGGATGTACTACTGTTAAACCAGTGATGTCAAACTGAGATAGAAAAGGATCTCTGTGACTACATATTGACTTAGAAAATGACAAGTTGACATATGCTACATCATATTGTATTTTTATTTATGTTATTAAACATTTACCAATTATGGCATGTGGGAGCCTGCAAGTTTGACAACCTTTACCCTGAATAGTGGTAACAGTAATCCAGAGGTATAAACAGGTTAATTGCACTTGTTTTGGATTGCTGTATTTTATTCAAAAAGTGTTGCATTATTTCATAGCTCTTATAACTTGTCTCATGCTGTGTCTTATTTCTTCACATCTCTAGCATTGAATTTTACAAATCTTTAATGGATTTTGTTACATTTTAGAGTTGTTTTCATGTGAGTTTTTTATGATTTATTTGATAATTTGAACAGTTTTTCTTGCGGTGTTTTCCAATTTGTATGCCTCTTCAAAGTTTTTTTCCCTTATCTTTTGTGTTTACATCATCTTCATTTCCAAATATATTCCCTACCTCTCCCTTCTCTAATGAACCATTCCTTATAATAATGAATGAAAAAGAAGTCTAAAAATAAATGTCCAGAAAACTACCCCAAACGTTAGTTGATCCTGACAGTGCTGTGCATGGGGTGTTATTCACCCAGAGTCTCCCACCACTACAAAAAGAGGAAGGTTAATTTTCTCATTTCTTCAGGGTCAGGCTTGGTCATTATCATTATATGTGTGTTTGTGTGCATATATACATGCATGTATACACACATACATGTATATATACACAATGTAGTGTATATGTATTTGTGTATATATACAGAAACACAAAACACATACCCACAAAATGTGTGTGTATATATTTGTTTTATATACATACATGTGTGTATATATGTATGTGTGTGTATATACATGGATATTATGTATATATGTATGTATTTTTATATACACATCTACATACACCCCCACCTACACCCCCCAAATGATACATTTTTTTCTTACTATTTATATTGTAGATTTTTTTTTTTAATCCCTGGTTCTGCTTGCTTCACTCTGCATCAGGTCATATAAATCTTTCAGTACTTCTCTGAATTTATTTGGTTCACTGATTTTTGTAGTGGAGTAATTGTGTGTTACAGTTATGTACCATGATTATTTGCTTGGCTATTTACCAGTCATTGGGAATCTATTTTGTTTCCAGTTCTTTGTTATAACAAATGGTACTATTTAAATACTTTGGTGTATATGTTCAATACACCAAAATATGTTATAACTTTTCTTCATCTTAAGTATGTGCTTAGCGGGGGGATTTCTGGATCAAATGATATGGCTGTTTTACTCACTTTTTCAGTGTAACTCCAAATTGCTTTCCAGAATTAGACAAATTCACAGCTCCATCAACGGTACTTGCCTGACTTTCCTTAGGCACCTGGGAAAGTGACACAAATGTGTATAGATCTAGACTAAGAGCTTTCACTGCTACCCCATGGAGGTCAAAAATGAAAAAAAAAAAGAAAAAAGAAAAAAGGTCCCATATGAATTCATCTTTCAAAATTTTTTTAACATTTTTTCTTAATTTAAGATTCTGAACTTTTTATTTCTTCAAATGAATACAAATGAATTTTGTCATTATTTTGTTTAACTCAATAGAGCATTCCCTTGGTAGTTTGATTTGTAGCATATTAAGTCTATAAATTAATTTAGGCAGTATCAATATTTTTATTATATTGACTGGACCTAAATACGAATTCTTGATTTTATTAAAAGTTTTGGAACTGTATATATTTAAGCCTTAAGTGTGTGCCTTTGTAGATTGAATCTCATATATTTTATGCCTTATGTATTTATTTTCATTGGAATTTCCCTTTTTAGTATTTGTTCATAGTTTTGTTATTGTTGTATTGAAATGTTATTGATTTTTGTCGATTCATTTTATATCCTACTTTATTGAAGTTATTTCAGTTTCTTTGCTGATTCTCTGGGGTTTTCTAAATAGACCATTATATTATCAGTAAAGGGAGACTTTATTTAGTCTCTTTTTTATTGATGTTTGTCTTTAATTTCCTTCTCTTTGTATTATTTGTCAGTGGATTTCTAGAACAATGTCACTTAATGGTAGGGAGCTTGCCTTAGTCTGGTAGACTTCAATTGAAGTCCTGCCTTTAACAAGTAGAGCTTGGGTGATCTAGGTCAAGCTGTTGATCTGAGAATACACTAATGAAATCCCAGGTCCTACTTTTTTTAAGTCTTTTTCAGGCAAAGATCCCCAGTTCTTTCAACTATGTTTCTATGGAATTCCATGCTAGGACTGTCCAAGCATATTGGTTGGCCTCTTTTGTTCTCTGGCTTATCAGTACACTTAGTATTATGTGGCACCCAGAACTAAACACAGTACTACAAATATGTTTTGGCCTGGGCAGATATTTTTCAGGTGACTTGTCTAGTCATGCCTCTTTTTTTTTATCACCTTCTGGTGGTGGATTTCTGAACCCAAATGTAAATTTTTGCATTTATCTATTATATTTCCAGTTATTAGTTTCAGCCCACTGGTTTGGCCTTTTGGGATTTTTTTGAATCCTGGTTGATATGTTGTTAGCTTTCCTTCCCAGCTTTGTGTCATTTTAAATTTGATTATTTTGCCATAGATGGGTGTGTGTGTGTGTGTGAGAGAGAGAGAGAGAGAGAGAGAGAGAGAGAGAGAGAGAGAGAGAGAGAGAGAGATGCTCTGGAATATAAATTATAGACTGCTAGCTAGGACTCTGTTGTTTCTATCCTGTTTCGATTCTATGGCCCCTTCTGAATTTCCTTCTCTCTATGGTATATTTAAAAAATATTTTGTTGCTGCTCTTTTTATTTTCATCTCTATTAATATTATAATTTATTCAGCTATTCTCTTAACACAGTAACTCTAGTGGCACCCTATTATTGCAAGGATCAAGTATAAACTCATCTATTTGGCATTTAAAGTCTTTCATAACCTAATTACAACCTACCTTGCCCCCTTTATTACACATATTCCACTTCAAAATACTATGATCCAGTTAAGCTGGCTTTCTTGCTTCATCTCAGACATTCTCATGTCCTGTCTATCTTTGTACTGACTGGGTTCTGTGATTATTTGGAATTAGAGGAAGAATCCTCACTTTCATCTCTTAGAATCCTTAATTTCCTTCAAGGAAGCTTTTACTTGAATTCTTTTCTGTTTCCTTCCCTCTAACTGGTGGTGCCTTCTCCCCAGGGATGCGCTTAGAAACAGCCTACTGGGGTGGGGGAAATGTGTGGACAAATACACTTTAAAGCTTAATCTGCATTATTAACATTTTATCCATAAGTCTAGAAACAGTAAGCAGAAAAACAAATCAAGCCTAGACTTTTAGCATTTGCTGATTTACAAGGTAAATAAATGTTCATGCTGAAAATTTAAGAATTGTCTCTCTTGAGCCAGTTTGACTTTGCTCCAGTACACGGTCCTTCCCTCCCCTGCCCTTCAAATCCTTTGTATCTCTTTTGTATTTGAGGCAGCCTGACTTTCATTTCTCTAGTTTTAATTTCCTCTAGTGCTATATAGTAATCCTTGGGAGTTTGATTCATATAACCCTGAATTTGTAAGTTCTTCTAGGTAGTGGTGTCATTTTTATTATGTTGGCCAACCATTATATTTAATGGTCAGCCACTTTATTTAATATTTTTATTACATAGTCCAGCCATGAACACTTAATATCACTCCAATTATTTAAGACTTTATGTCTAAAAAGAATAGTTTGTACCTTACCTGTCTTTGACTTCAGTTCCCCCTCAACAGTGTTTATTTTACTTGTTCCAGATTGAGCATTGTTCTCCTTGATGGAAGCAAAATAAACTAGAACTTGCCATCACAAATGTTCCTTTTTGTCAGTAAGGCCAAAAGTGGCTAGTTACATGTTTTTATTTCTTTCAGATTCCATTAGTCAAGATTCCAGTTTTGGAACCAAGGTAACAGATCGGATGCAGGACATTTGCATGGAGACATCATCCAAGACGAAACAACCAAAGGTTCTTCCTTTGCATTCCAAGATGACAGATACTGGAAAATGTGATGTTAATTTAGAGAAACAGAAGGGCAACCCAGAAAGACAATCCAGACAAATAACAATCACTCCTAGAAAAACTAATAGTAAAGGCGGGGTACCTGGCAGAAGTTTTAGCCTGGGGTCAGTCTCTGTTCCACTGTGGAGAAGGAAAAGTCTTAGAAAATGTGAGACACTTGAATCAAGTATTGGGGATAAAAAGAAGAACGTGTCTAAGTATAACAGATTTAGGAAGCCTTTCATTTATCACTCAGACCTAATTAAATTTCATAGACTACATAGTAGAGAAAAACTTTATGAACACAATGAATGTAGAAAAGCCTTTGGGAGACAATCAAATCTTGTTAGAAACTTGGGCAGTCTTACAAGACAGAAATATTACGAACGTAACAAATATTGGAAAGTCCTTAACCAGAGGGGAGAACTGGTTTATCAGAGAATTCCTCCTGGAGTAAAATTCTTTGAATGTAATGTGTGTGGGGAAGCCTTTAAGGAAAAAGAAATGCTCAAAAAACATGAAAGTATTCATACTGGAAAAAAACATTTTGAATGTAATAGATGTAGGAAAAGCTTCATCCGAAAAGAAAATCTAAATACCCATAAGAAAACCCACACTGAAGTGAAAGCCTTTGAATGTAGTGAGTGTGGGAAAAGTTTTGGACGGAAGGTACACCTTGTTAGACATCATAAAATTCATACCCGAGTGAAATCATTTGAATGTAAAGAATGTGGGAAAGTCTTTGGTGAAAAGGGACACTTCAGTATCCACCAAAGAACTCATACTGGAGAGAAACCTTTCACATGTAGTGAATGTGGGAAAACCTTCAGTGAGTGTAAAGCTCTCAAAAGCCATCAGAAAATTCATAGTGAAGAGAGACCCTTTGAATGTGATGTATGTAAGAAAGCCTTCAGTCAGAAGGGACACCTTATTTCTCATCAGAGAACTCATACTACAGTGAGACCTTTTGAATGTAATGTATGTAGGAAATCCTTTAGTCAGAAGGGACACCTGGTTTCTCATCAGAAAACTCATAAATGTAATGAATGTGGGAAAATCTTCAGTGATAGTAATGTACTCAAAGACCATCAGAGAACTCATACTGGAGAGAAACTGTATGCATGTGATAAATGTGGGAAAGGCTTCATACAGAAGTCATACCTTGTTAAACATCAGAGAACTCACAATGGAGAGAAACGCTTTGAATGTAATGAGTGTGGGAAAGCCTTTCGTACAAGTGTACACCTCAGTACACACCAGAAAACTCATACAGGTGAGAAACCCTTTAAGTGTAGTGAATGTGGGAAAGGCTTCAGCCAGAGGGAAAATCTTATTAAACATCAGACAACTCATACTGGGGAGAAACCCTTTGAATGTGATGTTTGTAAGAAAGCCTTTAGGCAGAGAGCACACTTGGTATCTCATCAGAGAACTCATACTGGAGAGAAACCCTTTGAATGTACTGAGTGTGGGAAAGCCTTTGGTGAGAAGCGAACCCTTAATAGACATCAGAAAACTCATGCTGGAGTGAAACCCTTTACATGCAACGAATGTAAGAAAACCTTCAGCCGAAGGACAGGCCTTATCATCCATCAGAGAATTCATACTGGACAGAAAGTTTTTGAATGTAATGTATGCAGGAAATCCTTCAGTGAGAGGAAAAATCTACTTTCTCATCAGAAAGCTCATACTAGAGAAAAACCTTTTGAGTGCAATGAATGTGGGCAAACCTTCAGTAAGAATGAGATGCTTGAAATTCACCAGAAAATTCATGCTGGGAAGAAACCCTTTACATGTGATGAATGTGGGAAAGGTTTCGTGAGGAACTCATACCTTATTAGACATCAGAGAACTCACACTGGAGACAAACCTTTTAAGTGTAATGAATGTGGGAAAAGATTTGTCCAGAAGGTACACTTCCTTTATCATCAGAGAATTCATACTAAAACAAAAAATTTTGAATGTAGTGAGTGTAAAAAAGCCTTTGGTGACAAGGTACTCCTTAGTAGACACGAGAAAACTCATTCTGGAGTGAAACCTTTTAAATGTAATGAATGTAAGAGAGCCTTCAGCCAAAGGACAAGCCTTATTATCCATCAGAGATCTCATACTGGAGAGAAACCCTTTCCATGCAATGAATGTGGAAAATTTTTCACCCAGAAGACAGTTCTTATTACTCATCAGAAAATTCATACTGGAGAGAAACCTTTTAGATGCAATGAATGTGGGAAAAGTTTCATCCAAAAGGTAGTCCTTCTTAACCATCAGAGAACTCATACTGTAGAAAAACCTTTGACTTGTAGTGAAAAAGTAGAAACCTCCAGTAATAGTACCCTAAATACCCCAATAATACCCCAAAGCCAACAGAAAGTTCATTCTGGAGAGAAACGATTTTGTTGTGGTGAATGCGGTAAAGGCTTCTGCTGGAGAGCAAACCTTATTAGACACCGGAAAATTCACACTGGAGAGAAACCCTTTGAATGTAATGAATGTGGGAAAGCCTTCATTGAAAAGAATTACCTTGTTGCCCATCAGAGAATTCATACTGGAGAGAAGCCCTATGAATGTAATGAATGTGGGAAAGCCTTCAGCCGAAGAACAAACCTTATTACCCATCAAAGAATTCATACTAAAGAGAAACCTTTCCCGTGTAACGAATGTGGAAAAGCCTTCAGTAGGGGTAAAGCCCTCAAAAAGCATCAGAGAATTCATACTGGAGAGAAATACTTTGAATGTAATGTATGCAAGAAGGGCTTCAATCATAGGGGACACCTGGTTTCTCATCAGAGAACGCATAAGAGAGGGAAACCTTTCTCATGTGATCAGTGTGGGAAAATCTTCAGTCGAAGGACAGTCCTTGTTAGACATCAAAAAACTCATTCTGGAGAGAAACCATTCTCATGTAGTGAATGTGGGAAAGCCTTCGGTGAAAGTGAAACCCTCAAAAGGCATTGGAGAGTTCATACTGGAGAGAAACCCTTTGAATGTAATGTATGTAAGAAAGCCTTTAGTCAGAAGGGACACCTGCTTTCCCATCAGAGAACTCATACTGCAGTGAAACCCTTTGAATGTAATGAACATGAGAAAATCTCCAGTGAGAAGGATCATCTTATTACCCACCAGAAAACTCATACTGGGGTAAAACCTTTCACATGTCTTGAATGTGGGGAAGCCTTCAGTGAGAGTAAAGACCTCAAAAAACATCAGAGAACTCATAGTGGAGAGAAATCTTTCACATGTAGTGAATGTGGGAAAGCCTTCAGTGAGAGTGAGGCCCTCAAAAAGCATCAGAAAATTCATACTGGAGAGAAATCCTTTGAATGTAGTATATGTAAGAAAGCCTTTAGTCAGAAGGAACACCTGATTTCTCATCAGAAAACTCATATTGGAGTGAACTTCTTTGAATGTATTGAATGTGAGAAAACCTTCAGTGAGAAGGATCATCTTATTATCCATCAGAAAACCCATAGTGGGGCAAAACCTATCACATGTCTTGAATGTGGGGAAGCCTTCAGTAAGAGTAAAGATCTCAAAAAACATCGGAGAACTCATAGTGGAAAGAAATCTTTCATGTGTAGTGAATGTGGGAAAGCCTTCGGTGAAAGTGAGGCCCTCAAAAAGCATCAGAAAATTCATACTGGAGAGAAACCCTTTGAATGTAGTGTATGTAAGAAAGCCTTTAGTCAGAAGGAACATCTGATTTCTCATCAGAAAACTCATGTTGGAGTGAACTTCTTTGAATGTATTGAATGTGAAAAAACCTTCAATGAGAAGGATCTTCTTATTACCCATCAGAAAACCCATACTAGGGTAAAACCTTTCACATGTCTTGAATGTGGGGAAGCCTTCAGTGAGAGTAAAGAACTCAGAAAACATCAGAGAGCTCATCGTGGAGAGAAATCTTTCACATGTAGTGAATGTGGGAAAGCCTTCAGTGAGCGTGAAGCCCTCAAAAAGCACCGGAGAGTTCATGCTGGAGAGAAGCCCTTTGAATGTAATGTATGTAAGAAAACCTTTACTCAGAAGGAACACCTGATTTCTCATCAAAAAACTCATACT